AATTGGGAAGCCTTCCAAATTATTCGTCTTACACACTTATCTCTCCATAGGTATCTACTTCATTCTTCTCCCTCTCTTAGTACCAGTTTTCTGTGCTTCCCTGGTTCACGTGATGAAATATGGCTAGTTCTTTGCTCCTTAGGTTACGGGTAGTTTCTGCTACAATTAGACAGCAGCTTGCTGACTCTCAGTCTGATTTCCTATTCCAGCCCCAGCTGAGTCAAGTGTCCACTTCCACTTTGGTCAGCCATGCCCAGGGTAGAAAGTACAGGCACTGCCACACAGATGCTAAGGATGGAGTCAGGATGGTGGGGGCAGGGCTTATGACCTGGAAAGATATCTCAAGTTTAATGTTATAATTCGAATCCAACTAGATTTGGCTCAACAAAAACCAAAAACAAAAAAAAAGAAAAGAAAAAGAAACAAAGAAAAGAAAATCAAATGGACATGTGAAATTGATGTGTTCAGCTTCACTTTATGTGTCCTGTTTTCATTAGTGCTCCTGAAGCTTCTTCCAATTTGATCAAACCATGGCTGGCTTCCTGCTTTAGGTTGGAGGGCACTTGGTGGCCTGGAAGCCCGCATGAACAAGATCACTAGTTTTACCCTCTGCATGTTCCATTTTTCTAACATCAAATGTACCAGTTATAAAATTGTGAATTTTCTCATAAAACCGCCCTCTGGAGAGAAGCATAGGATTATTATCTCTTCTCAAACAGCTGCTTTTTCTTCTTGTAGACCCCTGTAGGTAGAAGCTAAAGCTCTCTTCTCATAAGAAATGCTTGTCATAAGAAAGAGATGGGTGTGAAAATGCCTTTTGATAGACCCTCTGTCTACTTCTGCTATGGGGATTATTTAAACATGAAGGAATTTCACGATGATTTAAAATTGACTACCCCCTCCATCTCCAAGTGCTTCTGGATCACTTCCCCAGCTGTTTAAAAAGTTGTTGAGCTATTAACTGCTGTGGAGGCTGCTCTGAGCTCCCTTTGAAATGGGGGTCCCCTGGCTGCAGTGCATAATATTAATGAGCAGTAAGTGATTGCCTGCTGCTCTCTACACCAGGCTCTTCTGGGCTCTGACAAGTGCTGCTGCCGCCTCCGCATGGCCTCCTGGCCCACCATGCCTCAGAGTGATGGATGCCCCTGTCGGCACTTCTGTTTCCACAGCCGACTGGGTGTCTTGCAGTCAGCCTATTCCGAGAGCACGGACGCTGGGAGAGCTCTTTGCCTTCTCGGTGCTGTTTGCTGAAGCGGTCTGGGTGCTCTTTAACAGAAAGCAATTCCCACCATCCGGCCCATTCTACAGATGAGCAACAGGAACTAGATCCAAATTGCATAAAAGAAGGCAGAACTGGGTCCTGAACCGGACTCTTAAATCCCAGTTTTCTTCCAGGAAAGGAGGAAGAGTCCATATTAACATCCCAAAACCAGTCACGTAATTAAATATTTCCAGGGCAAATGAGCAACTATAAAAGGGTTTCAGTCATCCTCTTATACATTTCATGTCCCACACCACCCTGTCACTAAAGGAGCCAAAAAATGCTTCAAGAATTGTTATACATAGGATTCTACATTGTGAGTCACAGTTAGTAAAATAAGCAACTTACTTGAATTGCTATAAGAGAATGAAAAATCAATATGATTTTGCTTTTTCATTTCAATAAACGTCAATGGCTGACTTTGCCATGCATTAACTTTTGGTTAATGACTCCACCTTTGGAGTTTGGTTCAGAGCTAAGCTGGCTTCCTGCCCTCCATGTCCTTTGACGGAAAAGCATGGCCTTGACTCTTCCTCTCCTGAAAGGAAGAGAGATATCTCAGACTGTGGGAGTGGAAGCATGACAGCTACCACATAGATCACCACTGTGTGTCAGGAACCACTATAAAAAAATTTTTGTTGACTCACTTAATCCTCACAACCTCCCTCTGAGGCAGGGACTGTTATAATCGCCATCTGATGGATAAGAAAGCCGAGAGGTTAAGTGACTTGCCAGAGATCACATAGCTGTAAAGGACAGAAATAGGATTCAAACCCAGGCAGCCCAACCCCAAAGCCCATGTTCTTTATCAACAGACTAATCCTCTCTATGTAGTATTTGTGTATCACAGGGAACTCAGGAATTTCATTACTTGACCCCCACCAAACTAATAGCTCTAAGCACATGGAACCTTCCCTCTCTACATGTGAGAACTTCCACGTCTGCCTCCTGGAAAACCAGCTAATTCTACACGTAGTTCACAGGACTGTTTCAAATTCAATGTATAATTTACTTTTTAAAATGTTTTAAGGTACAAAGTCTTGCTATGTTGGCCAGGTTGGTCTCGAACTCCTGGCTTCAAGCTATCTTCTTGCTCCTGCCTCCTGAGTAGTTGGGATTACAGAACTGGGCCACTGTGCCTGGCTCAACTTTTCAATTTTGAAAGCCAGTTGTAAATTTATAACATTTGAACCCCAGAAGCCGTGTTTTTCAAAGTCGATCCCATGAACCCACTGCATCAGTGTCTGCAGGGAATGTTTGTTCCAAATATGGAGTCTGAGCTTCACCCAAACTCACTGCAACTGAATCCTCCAGGAGTAGGTCCCAGTAATCTGCATTTTTAAGAACTTCTCAGTCACTGTTATTGACAAGATTGACAATAATTATAGAGTTGCGTCTGGAAGTTTCAGGAGCTCTGCACATCATCAATTCAACTGCAGATGATTGTAGAAAGCGTTCAACGCCACTCTGCATTCAACAGCTATTTCAGGGAGAATTACAATGTACAAGAACAGTTCCTAAATTCTTGTAGTCTCCTTCTGTGTGAGCCAGCTGGTTAAGAGAGTTTGAATAATTTCCCAAGCGACTCTAGTTAAGTGGACACTTGAACACTGTGTACCTATGAAAATATAGAAAAGACACAGCTTTCCACCCTGGACCCAAAGTGAGTCTTTCAGAATGGGACTCTGAATCATCTTTCTTTTTTGCTTAAAACCTTCTCAGAGAACATAACGTGAACTATGAGGGCTTACATAATCTGGCCATGCACACCTCTCTGGCATTACCTCACCCACTGCTCCAGCGACCCTGAACTGCCTTCGGTTCTTCCAGAGTGCCAAGTGCTACAGCATCTTTGCGCATGATCCTAGGGCATGTTATGTATGTACCCTCTGCCCCAGTTCCTAATTAGCTCTCTCACTCTTCCATCAGAGCTCAGCTTCAATGTCACTTTCTCAGAGCAGCCTTCCCGGGCCTGCCACAAGTCAGAGCACCTTCTTCCATCCCACTTTTCCTCCCGCTATTCTTCCTTGGCACTCACCACAGTTTTTCAGTCTGCTTTTGATTGTGTGGTAAACTTATTTCATCAGTCTCATCAAGTAGACTGGAAACAAGAGTCATAATGTTTTGTGCATTCTAGTGTTTAGCCAAGGTGCCTGCTACCTATTAGGCATGCAATTCCTTGTGGTGTATCAAGAATGAAAAAAAAAATTCATAATGTTGGAGATAAAGTTTTGATTCTCAGTCTAAAATTTAGCATCCATTCTATTGACAAAGATTCCTCATTTTTCATGTCTATCCCCGTCTTTAAATAGCAGTGGAGATGGTCAAGATTGGAAAGTCTGAACTCTAAACTTCTTTACATGTTCTAGATCCCTTTACTGAATGTGCCAACAGCCCTAATTCTGATGCTGTTTTTAAATTGCTCCTAGTATGGTTATATAGTCATTAATTGTTAAAAGGAAAGTTAATGAAAGAGTAGAAGTTACTGATTTTTAAAAACCACAAGGCAACTAATTATCTATTTCTTCTTTTATTTCGAAGGCTGAAATGGATTCTTGTTATTGAACAGGGTAGGGAATATGATGATGAGCCTAACTGGTGACGAGAATAGGTTTTGTTTAATTGTATTTTTCATCACTTTCGAGTGTGTCTTTAGTCAGCTATATGAGCTATCATGCTTACCTTTTGTAAGAGTGTTTTCTACACAAGAACATTTCTCTCACAATAATTTAATCACAGTGACTTTTGTTTAAGCTAATTTTGACACAAAAGTGATGGATTCGAAGTGTTCCTAAACTATAAGTGTGTTAAAAGCTGGAATTGTTCATCTCCTAAGGCCCACACAGCATTTAAATTATTATTAAACACTGTCTTCTGGGTATCTTAACCCAAAAAATTACATCTTACATGATACGTATATCAAAACCTAACAAGTATAAGTGGATATCCTTCCACTCATTTTTAGAACACCTTCCTAAGGAAGCTGAGTGCCAGTGACCGCCCAAATTCTCCTTGTGTTTCATATTATGCATTACAGTGGAAATGGATTAGAGAGCCACTATACAAGTGGGCTAGTGAGTTTGATAGCCAAGCAGTCCAGATTATTATAGATTACACCTCATACAGTTTGGTTGTATATCCCTAAATATTATCATCTTCCAAAGCTACAAATTCATGTTACGAAAATCTATGGGAAATTACGGGTGATAATAATGTTCACTAACAATTACACTTCACATCTCCAGTGTTCTTAACACTTTTATAGGAATTACCTCCCTCAGTCCACACAGCAACCCAATGAAGCAGGTACTGTTAGTAAGCCCATTTTATGAATGAGAAAACTGAGACACAGACAAAGTGACAGCTACGTCATTACTAAGCTCTTTTGGAACTCAGGTAGCCTGCCTACAGAGCACCCACTTGTAACTATTAAACTGGAAAACTATTAAACTAGAAAACCTCTCATAAATACTTATTTAAGAGCAATGAATCAGGGATCTTGGTCCTGCTTTCTTGCCTGCTTCCTTACTCTTTATTTTTCCTTTAGGAGATAGAGTGGCGAGGGGCAGGGAGTACATTTTATTTTGTTTTGTTCTAAGAGAAAAAGCTGAAAGTGAGCCGTCTTTCTTTCTGAACATCTTTTTCCAAAGCCGTTTACCTTCATCTGGGGCCAGAAAGGACACTGATTCCACTAATGAGCTTCCCTCTCTATCTCCCTCTCTGTCTCTCCGTTCTGCAGTTAATAGCCAAGATACCAACCATCACGGCAGTTTGCAACTTGCACGGGGAGAAGCTGCAGGTATTTAAGCAATCTCATCCAGAGATAGTGAATACACTGTTTCCTCCGTTATACAAGGAGCTCTTTAATCCTGACTGTGCCACCGGCTGCAAATGAAGGGGACAAGAGAACTGTCTCATAGTCATGGAATGCATCACCATTAAGACAAAAGCAATGTGTTCATGAAGACTTAAGAAAAATGTCACTACTGCAACATTAGGAATGTCCTGCACTTAATAGAATTATTTTTCACCGCTACAGTTTGAAGAATGTAAATATGCACCTGAGTGGGGCTCTTTTATTTGTTTGTTTGTTTTTGAAATGACCATAAATATACAAATATAGGACACTGGGTGTTATCCTTTTTTTAATTTTATTCGGGTATGTTTTGGGAGACAACTGTTTATAGAATTTTATTGTAGATATATACAAGAAAAGAGCGGTACTTTACATGATTACTTTTCCTGTTGATTGTTCAAATATAATTTAAGAAAATTCCACTAAATAGGCTTACCTATTTCTATGTTTTTAGGTAGTTGATGCATGTGTAAATTTGTAGCTGTCTTGGAAAGTACTGTGCATGTATGTAATAAGTATATAATATGTGAGCATATTATATACGACTATTACTTATACATGCACATGCACTGTAGCTTAAATACCATACCTACTAGCAATGGAGGTTCAGTCAGGCTCTCTTCTATGATTTACCTTCTGCGTTATATGTTACCTTTATGTTAGACAATCAGGATTTTGTTTTCCCAGCCAGAGTTTTCATCTATAGTCAATGGCAGGACGGTACGAACTCAGAAATAAGTCTACAAAGGAATAAACATAATGTGTGGCCTCTGTATACAAACTCTATTTCTGTCAGTGACATCAAAGCCTTGTCAAGATGATTAGGAAGGGGGCAGTATTTGGAGCCATTTTCCTGTTTCAAGAATTAGGCCACAGATAATATTGCAAGGTCCAAGACTTTTTTGACCAAACAGTAGGTATTTTCTATTTTTCACCAGAACACATAAAAACACTTTTCTCTTTTGGATTTCCAGTTGTGAAGGAAGCTTGATTTCAGTGCTTATTGTGTCTTCAACTGAAAACTACAATCCGTGGATTATGACTACCAGCAATTTTTTCTAGAAACATTAAAAGAATAAATCAGAACCCAGGGCAACAATGCCATTTCATGTAAACATTTTCTCTCTCACCATGTTTTGGCAAGAAAAGATAGAAAGAGAAGACCTAAAGTAAAGAAGTAATCTTTATATTCCTTCTCTTTAATACCTTTATTAGGAAAAGTGGCAATAAAGGAGGAAGCATATTATAAAATGTTATAATATAAAAATGTAGCAAAAACTCGACAGATTAGAAAAAAAAGATCTGTGTTATTCTGGAGATCTAATGTACCCCAAAGGCAAAACTAATTCCTATGCAATTTACAATTATATCATCCATTTACCCTAGAATTTTTTTTTTAGCAATTTTTAGAAGTAAAGAATACAAGGATGACATTGGGATCCGAGATTTTAGACTTCCTTGTACAAATCCTCACTTCTCCACCTGTTCATCAATGAAATTAATCATAAGAAAAGCATATATTCCAAGAAATTTGTTCTGCCTGTGTCCTGGAGACCTATACCTTTGGTATTTTCTGATTCAAAATAAAACTTAAACAAAACAAAACAAAACAAAAAAACTAGGAGAGAAGTTTGTGTATAAGACAATGACAATTATGGTCTCCTGTAATCATATCCCAGCCACCAACTCCTAAAGAACTGCCCTTTTCTCCTTGCTACACACACACACACACACACACACACACCCCTGCTTTGTAAAGTTTCCATCAGTGGAAACTTTTATTATTATTATTTTTAATCTCTGTGCTCTCCTGAAGTTCATGGTTGAGCAGCATCTCCAAGATACCACAGACCTCTTGATTGATGATCAAAACAGTAGTGTCGCCTTTTCCTTTTAGAAAACGGAACATTTTCTCACCTCATGATTGATGAATTCTAAACCAATGGGGAAAAACAAAAAGGCTTTAAAATAATGAATCTGTTTCTCAACTACTGTTATATTCAATTAATTTAACTACATTGAACCAAATTACCTTTGGTTCTAAGAAGACAGCTGTAGACTGCTTATTATGCTGCTACAGGGACTCAATTCTTTTTGGTGTAAATGTCACTCCTGCTAGCTCTTTGTATAAAGAATTAATTCCCAGAGTCATATTTCCTTCTAATGGAAAGATTACTCTACTGATTGCTAGGAAAACAGGGTAATGGAAGGCACTCAATTAAACGAAGCCATTTCCAAATGCAATGTATGTTTTATGATTGGCTTGTGATAGGCGATGCTTCATGTGTCTACTTGGTGTTTCCCTTTGAGCTTTGAACTTATGTCAAACTTTGTTTTCATTGTTCTGTTGGCCTGGTGTTTTCCATTGTCAGCCTGTAATTCCTGCTCAGTTGCAGAGGGAATTATTTATTTCCTCCAATTTACCTTAGAGGATTTAAATTGGCTCAATTGATGAAGTGGCTCAGAATTTTTTCCTCCCTTTTCCCATGGGTGATATAGGAAAAAGATTGTTCCCCACATTTACCTTGGGAGGTACTGCTTTTGAATTTGTGTTGTTTCCACTAGTGTAAGCATTTCATTGGGACAGCATGGACCTTTTGAAGCTGGGAGGAAGGAAACAGAGCTAGCATCTGAACCAGAACAAAACAATGGCAACCAGGAAGTACTCAGCCCACTTAGTTGAGACAAGATATTTCTAGTTTGGGTTACAGTTGCCTAACCTTCCCTTAAAAGAGAATCCAGTCATGTTTTCAATGGTAAAAAGCCTTAAAAAGGTGCCCTTCGAAGATCTCCTATGACTGTATGTCAAGGTATTTTGTACCTACAATCCCAGAACTTTGTTCCTTCCCCATGAGGACTAACAAATGTTCACAACACTCATGATCAAGTGTGCACTGGAAGAAAAAAATCCACAATCTGGGCTTCTCACTTCGTGCTTCATAAATGACAATCACTGCTCGATGCAGATGTTGCACTGTGTCCACTCAGGGATGTTTCATTAAAAAAAAAAAAATACATCAAGAAGGAGGAAAAAATTAAAAACGGAAAAATGACAACAAAACGTGAATGGTATACATTAACTATGCCGCTGAGAGCACCTCTCTGACAAGGCTTTCAGGCCAACAAGCAGTAACTTCATGTCATAAACTGGACTGAATTATTTGGACTTGCTGAAAAGTTGCACCCAAGTAAGGACAACTTGGTCTCATTTTCTAAACTCCGCTAACAGCCAAATAATCTAGCTGTCCCATTCAGAGGAATTTTTATCTCCCTGCAAATCCAAACTTTTCTATACAGATCCTGAACAAGGCAATTACAGAAATCTAACTGGCATTAGATAAAATGGACAAGGGAGGTGAAACTGGGTGAATTCAAACTTCAGTGTATTTGTGGTCCATAAAAAGAAAGGGTAATTTTGGAGGGAAAATAGAACAGGAAAGGATTCCAAATCTGGGTTGACCACCCGCATATACCCGTACTGTCCATGACTCAGCTAATCTTTGTGCCCCTTGTTCTGTGGCTCCTTTTCTGTTTTGAGACAGATCTTGTTCAACATGTTGCTCAGGCTGCAGTGCAGTGGCGTGAGATCTCGGCTCACTGCAACCTCTGCCTCCTGGGTTCAAGTGATTCTCCTGCCTCAGCCTCCCAAATAACTGGCATTACAGGCACATGCCCCTACACCTGGCTAATTTTTGTATTTTTAGTAGAGATGGGGTTTCACCATGTTGGCCAGGCTGATCTTGAACTCCTGACCTCAAGTGATCCACCCACCTTGGCCTCCCAAAGTGCTAGGATTACAGGCATGAGCCACCCCGCCCTGCCTTCGGTAGCTCTTTTATCCCCCAAAGACTGAAAGCTGAAGGTGGAGATGTTCTCCACAAACATACCCTTTCTGAATTTCCCTTGTTTTAGCACTGCGTTCAGGGCTCTGGACTAAAGTACCTCGGAGTAGGTAAAATCAGAGACTATAACGATCTCCTGAGTGATTAGATTTCTTTGGTAGATTCTAAGAGATCTTGAATCATAATAAACTCTGCATATTAACAAGAGGTCCCAGGGAGGTGTCAGTACATTTCCTATCATAGCTGCCTTGTTCAAAGCATAACTTCACAGCAGTGAAGTTAAACTGTTTGTAGAAAACCACAAAGATCAACTCATGCTCACTCTCTACAATGTAATGTGTCCCAGGCTTGAAGGCAAAAAACAAGTCTTGAGTCCCAGGGACAACCTAAAACCTACCAGCTTTTTTCAAAAACAGCAATCAGATGCAAATAATGGCAGTGTTCTATGTTCTTTGTTTCTGTTCATTATAGAAGCAAGGAAAAAGTCTACTTCTACTGGAAATTAGAAGAAATAATTTCTTCCTGACTCTTTTTTTTTTTCTATAAACTTTTATTTCCAAGGAAGCTGCTACAATTGACAGTCAGTTCAGGCCATGGATGTCTGTGCCCTGACAGAAGCACCGTCCAACAGAACAGCAATAATTTTAAAGTGTGCTTCTGTAGTGAAACTCTGCACAAAGCCCCCTGCATAAAGAAGAGGGGAAAGCCTACCATCTGCTTTAGACGAAGTGCTATTTCATGTTCTGTTTCCAACTGCCAGTATAAGCAGCAGCTAGAGTAAAGACCTGATGTGGGAAACTATGGGGGTCTTTCAAAAAAAAAGATGACACTCTATTCATTTTTGGCTCTCAGGACCAGAGGGTACAGGGTAGAGGGTAGTTTGCCATTTAAAGCAGGGGCTGAAAATTCGAAAGCCTAAAAGGGCCGGGGGGCTTAATGCAAATGGGTGAAGCAGCCCAGTGACAAGCTGGCCAGGAAATGCCCTGTGGAAAAAGGGACATCCACGATTTAGCTGAAGCTGAATGCTGCTAGAGCTTCTGAATTTTATAAAGTCTCTGAAATTATACATAATGGGAGTTGATTCAGAGCTTAGTGCAGACCAAACAAATACATCACTGAGCAGAAGAGGGCCCGTAAATGGTCAGCTTGCAGCCTCTGGTTTAAAGCAACATCGCATCTGGGACCAGCTCAACGGCGGCAAGTCCGGCCAGATTCAACCCTGGGCGATATTAGAACGATATTAGTTTTGGAAGGAGGGGATGGAGATCTTCCCCTTCTCATACTCTATTTTGTTTTCGTATGTGATTGTCACAACTAGAGGATATAACAGGAGGTCAGTTTACAAAATAGCCAACAGTCTAAAAATGAAAACAATTCAATTTAGTGACGGCTTCTAAAAGGCACGTCAACTTGTCTTGCCCACACTCCCTTCTTCATAGAGCCAGGGGCTAGATTTCTTGCCACTTTTTTCTGAAAGGCAAATACGTGACTTTGATTCTTTTGGGTCTCGACGTGTTTCTTTAACTGTGTGACTTCAACATCTGTGACAAGTGTTTGTTTTCCCTTCGTCGTATGTGAAGAATCTATTCTATAGTCGTGATCATGTAGTCCTCCATTGTTTGGAAGTGCAGACCGTGGACCTATGCAGCAGATGGGGGTTTTCTATTTGTGCACTTTTTTCCTAAGCTGCTGAAATTCCTCCGATGTGAATGGGCCATAGCAATCTTTGCCTCCTGCGTGACCGTAAGCATGGCCTCCAGTGGATCAGAGAAAGCAGCTCAGTGATTGTTCTCATGGCCAAAAATAAAGCACAAGGGTTACCGGAATTGAATGAGCCCCGCTCAGGGCCGCACGGGGCATCTGCACCCCAGCTGGGCAGCACGATCCTTGTATTCAACTATACTCTTCTGGCAGTGGTTGGTGGCAAGCATTCGCGTGCCTCTGTCACAACCATACCGTAGACACACATTAGGTATGTCTGGAAAGCTACAAATCCCACATCCAAGCACAGTGCCGTCTGCTTCATCTGATTAACACACACACAAGAAAGAAAAATTACACCCACAGAAAACTGAGTATGTATTGTAGAAATGTAGAGGAAAAATAAAAATATTTTTTCAAATGTAATTACTTTTAATATATGCTTGTGGAGGGTCTAATACAATGTATGCTGTCTCTGTAATTTTTGCTGTAAATAACTGGAGACAGTGAGTACACTGATTTTTCTATGTCTCTGTTTAAGCATAAGACTTTGTAACAATTTTTTTAGAGGGGGAAATCAACAAAGAGCAAATATGTACTTGCTTCCTTTCTGCGTGTTATGTACTTCTCAGTTTTTTAATGGAAACTGGTTGTAACAGTTTAAGCATCTTGACGGGTCATTGGTGTTAAGTGTATGCTTCTTTTTGTAATATGACTGAGAAAGGGACAGGGCTGTCAATTAAATCTGCTCCAAAGAGTTTGTATCGAAGATTGGCCTAAGACCTGCAAACTCCATCTCTAACAAGACAATATGAAAAAGGAAAATTTTAAAAAAAGAAAAAGTTAGGCCTGAGTTAAGTCATCTTTCCTTGTAGCAAATGGCTTTGTCCAAATCCTTTCTGCATGGAATAGCTGAAAGAAAACAAACTCCGCTTTCTGATGAACAAAATATTTTTGTACACATTTATTTCTTATTAATAACCTGAGGTCAGACCACACATTTGCTGAAGCCATAACTGACCTTCACCAAATAAATGTTGTAAAGAACCTGGGGGAGGGTTGGGGAGAGACTGAGAGGGAGGAAAATTCAAGGTGTCATGAGCTATAGCAACACAGGCAGGAGCAAGTCGTGGAAACTGATGCTTTTCCTGCATCCCAAATATGACTTTAAAAGGCTAGTATTTTATGATGATCGATTTATAATAATAAAAAAGATATTTAGATTTAAATGAGACATTTCAATATTTTTGAAATCCCTGACAATGCTTCCTTGCTTTTAGGATTGAGAGAAATGATTTTCATATACTTCCAGCGTTCAGAGATTTAATGTTTTCACCTCAGCTCCAGCCTACACTTGTAAAGTGAAGAGCGACTCTAAGTCCTGTGAAACCTTGGGCTGCCTGGGGCTTGGCTGTGCCCATTAACCTACTGCACCTGGGGGGCAGCATGGGAGGGGTACAGTTTGCATCTCATTAGCATGCACACCACTGTTGGCAATGCACAAAAGTTGTGTTGCCACAAGTATGTAAAATAAAAATATTCACTCTAAAAAGCATAATAATTCTACTTTTTTAAAACAATAATGTCTCTTATAGTCACCATTGATTTTTCTGGAGTTTAATTACATTATTACCATGTATTCTTATTGGCCGGTAGAGGCAAAAGGCAAATCACAAATAAACCCAGTGACATATATAGTTTTAAAATCTACAATTTTCTGATCTCTCTCTCCTTGTTTAATATATAAGCCCTAATTTCTGTGTATGTGAGTAAAACTGCAGCCTGAGTCATTTAGGAAGTAAGCATTGAGTTTTTTTAATTATAAATATACTAGAATAAAACAGCACTCCCTAACAATTAAAAAAGAGTTTTATATTACTTTAGAATGTAATAGGTTTTTGTCCTTATTTTATGTCCTGTAAATTATTAGTTCAATACTGTTAGCATTCCCGGATAATGCACACATGATTTCTGAATGTTTTCTGTAAATGACAATCAATGTTTATGAAGTTCCCTCCTTTAATGCTGAACAAAATTAAAAGAAGAAAAAGAAAAAAGGACTTGCCTAATGGTTTTCTTTCCTCCCCACCCCAATTCCCACTCTCACCCCTGGGAACAACGAATGGGTAGAAAAGATAAGATTTAGCTTTGAAAACATTACCCCATGGGTTCTTACCTACAGAGTTTTCCTTTTTCTAGTAAGTAATGGTTAATTTTTTTTTTTTTTCAGGAATTCTTGTGTCCTCAGGGACCTGGCCTGTGTTGGAAATATTCATTGAGAAAAGACTCAGAGTCCATGCTAGCCAAATAGCTTACCAAGTTACAATTAAAATGAGAGCAACATCTCTCAAAGATAATAACTCTTTTTCTCAGCACTTTAATAAAAGGAAGCCCCAGCTAGCAGAACCATAAGCAACTCCCTTGCAAGCACTTTGTTGAAATAACGTGCAGCAGGTTTGAAATGGATGTGACAATCCCTACATCTGATGAAAGCTTTCAGATAATTAATGATTAAGTCTCTGGGTCTGATTTTTTTTTGTTTTGAATCAAGCTGCTCCACTACCAAAATCAATGCCCACCAACATATGAATGCTCTGAATCTCATTTGGAGCTGGATTAGGGAGCAATTGAGGATAATCACAGACTCATAGTGATGTTGAAAAAGGTAGCTCTAAGAAGGTCAGCAATTTTTCAGGTGCTTGGAAGTTGCTGCAGATTGGGGTCCCCAGAGCTGAAATGCTCCAAGTACAGTAGTTTAAAGCAACATTTAACAGATTTTAAAAGTAAAAGCACTGAAGCAAGTGACAGGATGAGCCCTGGAAACCCTTCTGTAAAGTTTCTTCCAACCTTTGCTGGTCTTTGGAACCAATGAAAAGCCTTCCAGTATGTTTCAAGCCATATCTCTACTCAAGGCATTCAGATCCCATGTGGCTCTGCTGAGAGATTACAGAAACAGAGAACTGCACTGATGGTTCTGTGAGAGAACCATGTAGGTCCCTTGGTTTATAATGAGGTCTTCAAGTGTCTAGTCAGAGATGACAAACATATTACCTCAACCTATCCCAGGCTCATGTCAATTGTCGTCAATGACTGGTCCTAGAACTCTTGGCTAAAAAGTCATCTAAAGTTTTTTTCAGAAACCTAGATCTATGCAGCATTGCAATACAAGGTAAAACTTATCATTTTAAAATTCTGCTTGGACCATATAACATGATAATTATTAGCTTTTGACAGAGTTATCAAAAATTATAAATTAAGCCCGTTTTATGCACAAAGCTTTGTTCTGTTCATAGATCCTCTTCTTTACTTAAGAGCAAGTCCTGGCGACACATTCCCACAATCACACTAGGCCAGTGTGCATGAGGCATGGCAACTATCAAAGGCATAGCCCGGGTGTGGTCACATATTCCAGGTGGCAGCAGCTCCTTGATCCATTTAGAGAAGAGGCAGAAGTGAAGTGAAACTTCTAATAACATCTGGCAGTGAGGTGTCTCAGATCACAAAGCCACCATGCTGTAAGTTTTCTCTCATTGTTTTCTGAACTTGAACTTGCTAAGCTTAACTGGTTGACTCAATATTATTCTAAGAGGCTGTAAAATTCTTGACAGCTGTGTCTCAGAGACCTTTAAACCACCCGGGATTATGAGGTAGGCCATGGCATGGTGACACTCGATAAATGTGTCAACTACATTTATTGGAGTCTGCTCTCCTTTTCTACTTCCAGCTTCCCAACTATTTGCTGTGATTTCACTGATTTTGCCCTTGAGAAAATCACCCTCCAGCAGAGTCATCAGACATAGACATGCTTTTCACCATAAGCAATGAGAAGGAAAGTGGTGGCCCATTGGCAATGGACATTGAAAGAATGGTCTTTCTCTTTCTCCAAAGATTTAGCCAAAAGCAACAAGAGAAGGAGCTTGATATTAGACATATCTTCTCGGATTTTCATGGAAGACTCAGCTGGGCAGAAAACAAGAAACAGAGAGATCTGGGAGGCTAATGTGTAAAGCAAATTCGGCATCAAAGCCTGGTGTTGGCATGCCCTTCTCCAACTTTCCAGTCTGGTTTGATCAAATCACAAAATCTCAGTCAAAAAGTAGAGAATCTGGATAACTGATTACTTACCGAAGTATATCCCTGCCCAGGTAAGAAATTTTAGAAAAGGTCCTACTTTTTAAGAGATGGAAACCATTATATCTGTGATCATATGTTCTGTTACAGCAGTCAAAACAGCAGATCAAATGTCATTTTAGATACCTATCTAGTCGCTAGATGCCTTGCATGTGGCTAGAAGATGAAGGAAGCAAGAAAGAATATGCAGGATTACACAGCAGATTCACATGGGCTAGGCCTACCCACACTTCATCACCCAGAATTAATCCCATAGCACCACAGCAGTGGAGGGGGCTGAGATACATAGCCTAGTTAGTTCTGTGTGCCCACAGAGAAAAGTAAACAGGGTTTAGGGAACAGTTAGAAGTCCTGACCCAAATATGAAAGAAATTCAGGAAAGTTTCTCATTTCATCTTCCATCAGATACTACAACAAACATGTATTCAACTTATTTATTCAACAAGTATTTATTGACCCACTACAATGCCAACCAAGTCACTGATAATGCAATCGTGAAATATGACAGGTACAGACTCTGCCCTCATGGAATCTATGGTCTGGGTCCAAGAAAGGTGGATATACAGAGGAAAAAGATATAATATAAATAATTATAAAGAGTAACCCTTATTACAACTGCTACACCAGCTACAGACAAAATCATAAGATGTCACTACACATTATCTGTTATTCTCTATTTAGCTCTACTCTTGAACTCATTATCACCCACCATAGCCCATTTGGTTTTTTAATAATGTTAATTGTTTAATTAGTTTCTTAATAGTGAGATAAAATCTTTCCTCTCATATCTTTTCCCCAGGTTATAGCTAGTTCTGCTCATTGAGACTAAGCAGAGCAAGTGCATGTCCAAACCTATCTCTGTCTTATTAACTCACACGCCTGTCATGGGGTAGGGGGGAGCAGGGAGGGATAGCATTAGGAGATATACCTAATGTAAATGATGAGTTAATAGGTGCAGCACACCAACATGGCACATGTATACATATGTAACAAACCTGCACACTGTGCACATGTACCCTAGAACTTAAAGTATTTTAAAAAAACCTTCAATAAAATTGATACATCTTTCAGTCCTTGCTCGCAGTCTGGTTGTTTGCACAATAAAAATTCTCCCTTATCCCTGCTATCCCTCACAATTTAATCTGCTCATAAAAACAAGTTGTGTTCATTTGAAGAACATCATCAGAACAACCAGGAACACAGATTACTGACACGGAGACCAATCAGGGATCCTGTCTATGTCATCGATGCCAGTTATACCCATTTAGAACATGGTTTTTGCAGGCACTTGTGTTACAGTGTAGGTTTTATTAATATTCAGGTATTGTGAAGCCAGGAGATCAGGAGACAATTACCATTGAGAAGATAGTTTGTTACTCACAGTTTCCAAGAGAAGGGGACATGCCACACCACCTGGGGCACAAGGGGAAGCACCGGTGTAAGTGCCAGGAGGCAGAGGGAACAAGGGGGACATGTGGGTAAGACCCTTTATTGTGGTTGTGAAAAGGAACAGGTAAAGTAGACTAAGGAGGTTTAGGATTGACTAATTTGAATTATTTCAGTTGACTCTGTGGTGTGGTGGCTGTCTCTAGTTGTTTAGTACTTGGCTCTAGGCGATTAGGCAAGGGGGCTAACGTCACCCTGTGTGAGAGCTCAATAAAGATAGTGGGGAGTATGGACT